TATATATATATATTGTGTGTGCGTGTGTATATAAATCTATATATGTAAATCATATATGTGTGTGTGAGTGCGTGTGTGTGTATATTCAAATGCTGATTTCATCTGCAGCTCTGAGATGATACCGACGTACACCACACTGTTGCTGCTTGTAAACACTATATATAAAGTACCTGTCCGCGATACGTATTGAGCTGTCTCAACGCTCCGTTTCTCTGTGGGGGCATTAGTTGGAATAGGCAATTCCAGTACTCGTGCGGCGATATCTTATCGGGAACGTTGAGTGTCACGCCAACTCGGCTATCTACCATACCTAAGGAACAGAGAAATCCTTGCGATGAGTACATGGACACATAGTCGCCCCAGTGCATCTCGTGGAGCACAGTGTACGTGTGAGCCATGATGTGAGAAACTAACTCCCTACGTTCCTCGGTGTATGAGTCTACTTTATATTCATATGGCCCAGCTTCAAAAGAATTACAAGGCGTGATCCACTAAACTAGTAGACATAGCCATGAAGAGGATGTCGGGTTCGCCGATAGTCTTCAACTATAGTATATGAAATTATGAATCTGTATATATGTTTGTACGACTGCAAAAAAATATAATATTTATAAATACATACATACCGAATACAGAGCCCAAAAAAAAAGCTGGAAGTATGATGACATCACCTAGAATTTTGAATACAGAACAGAGGTCTTCCTGGAAGTTCGGTGTATCCGGTATACAAAGCCGGACAAACAGAATGTGGTACACGCAGTAAATAAATAAAATAAATAAAGCTGCAAAGGTCGCCAACTCGCCGGGCCTCAACAAATAAATACTTTTTAGTAGTATGCGACTAGTTACTGACTCTCTCCCAGAGACGTACAGCGTCAATGACATTATGTACATTATTATTACAGCATGGATGTACTTTTATTTTTTGTCAATATTGATTTTCAAAATTGTATCAGCTAAATAAAAAGCTATTCAGGTTTGAAAATCAGCCGAGTATAGACCACAGTTCTCTTGATTGTGTGCACCATATTCTATCAAAATATATACTTTTACAATACAATACACTGAGCGGTATTTCTTATGTCCGTGAGCTATGAATATGCAGCCGAACTATCTTTGAATTGAATGATATAATAAACTTCATATTGACCTTTCTATAAAGGCGACTCATGGTGTCATGATAAGTTCTCAAGATTTGAAAAGTGCAGATCGTATTCTAAAAAATATGCAATACATAGATATACGATTCAAGAAATGTGACTATTTTACTATCGATGATTATAAGCATGTCTTGCTCTTTTCTTTGAAGCATATCACAGTTGAATATCCATAACTCGAGAAATGTGAGTAGAAATGTATCAATTTACAATGTATGATTTATTATTTGCATACTCGATTCATTGTCAAGAAAATGCATAGAGAAACGTTTACGTGCGTTGCGTATACGTTGCGAGCTGTCGCAATTGTTCTAATACCTATTAAATACATTTCAAATTAGTAGTTGTAGACAGCACTGGCCTGGGCTGTCACTGGTGGCTCAATTTCGTAGATGACAGAAGTCTCGTAAACTGGCACGGTCTCCGTAACGGGCACGGTCTCCGTAACAGTGTGTGTGGCGGTAGTATCCACAACGCTTTGGGGAAGAATTTCCACAACCGTGGTAGTCTCCACCTGGGTAGAGTAGTCGATCTTAGTGCTGGAAAGAACGGTTTCTAGAGTCTTCACAGTGGTTTCGGACTCGACCTCAGTTGTGAACTTGGTCACAGGGACCACGACCTTCGAGTACTCTGTCACTGTAGTCGGTACAACCTCTGTGGTGAAGTCAATATCAACAGTGGTCTCAGTCTCCGTCTCAGTAAGCTCCTCAATGTTCGTCTCAACCGTGTAAATAACAGATGTTTCATACTCTGAAATAGTCGTCATGACGGTTGCGGGAACGATGGTCTCCAAAGTTTTTGTGGTCGTGTCAACCTTAGTTGTGTAAGCTGTCTGAGTCACGGGAACGACAGTTTCTACGGTGTTTGTCGTCGATTCAACCTTAGTTGTGTAAGCAGTCTTAGTCACGGGTACAACAGTCTCTACGGTTTTTGTGGTCGCGTCAACCACAGTAGTGTATTTGACG